ATCCACAGCCATCTGATCTTTGACAAACCTGAGAGAAACAAGAAATGGGGAAAGGATTCCCTATTTAATAAATGGTGCTGGGACAATTGGCTAGCCATAAGTAGAAAGCTGAAACTGGATCCTTTCCTGACTCCTTATACGAAAATTAATTCAAGATGGATTAGAGACTTAAATGTTAGACCTAATACCATAAAAACCCTAGAAGAAAACCTAGGTAGTACCGTTCAGGACATAGGCATGGGCAAAGACTTCATGTCTAAAACACCAAAAGCAATGGCAGCAAAAGCCAAAATTGACAAATGGGATCTCATTAAACTAAAGAGCTTCTGCACAGCAAAAGAAACTACCATCAGAGTGAACAGGCAACCTACAGAATGGGAGAAAATTTTTGCAATCTACTCATCTGACAAAGGGCTAATATCCAGAACCTACAGAGAACTCAAACAAATTTACAAGAAAAAAACAAACAACCCCATCAAAAAGTGGGCAAAGGATATGAATAGACATTTCTCAAAAAAAGACATTCATACAGCCAACAGACACATGAAAAAATGCTCATCATCACCGGCCATCAGAGAAATGCAAATCAAAACCACAATGAGATACCATCTCACACCAGTTAGAATGGCAATCATTAAAAAGTCAGGAAACAACAGGTGCTGGAGAGGATGTGGAGAAATAGGAACACTTTTACACTGTTGGTGGGATTGTGAACTAGTTCGACCATTATGGAAAACAGTATGGCGATTCCTCAAGGATCTAGAAGTATAAGTACCATATGACCCAGCCATCCCATTACTGGGTATATACCCAAAGGATTATAAATCATGCTGCTATAAAGACACATGCACACGTATGTTTATTGCAGCACTATTCACAATAGCAAAGACTTGGAATCAACCCAAATGTCCATCAGTGACAGATTGGATTAAGAAAATGTGGCACATATACACCATGGAATACTATGCAGCCATAAAAAAGGATGAGTTTGTGTCCTTTGTAGGGACATGGATGCAGCTGGAAACCATCATTCTTAGCAAACTATCACAAGAACAGAAAACCAAACACCGCATGTTCTCACTCATAGGTGGGAACTGAACAATGAGATAACTTGGACTCAGGAAGGGGAACATCACACACCGGGGCCTATCATGGGGATAGGGGAAGGGGGAGGGATTGCATTGGGAGTTATACCTGATGTAAATGACGAGTTGATGGGTCTTGACGAGTTGATGGGTGCAACACAGCAACATGGCACAAGTATACATATGTAACAAACCTGCACGTTATGTACATGTACCCTAGAACTTAAAGTATAATAATAATAAAAAATAAATAAATAAATAAATAAATAAATAAATAAAAAAGAAAACAAATCAGGTAACCAATCTGCTGGAAAATGTACATTCAAAATATCTCTGCCACCTTGATAATGTTCTCCAAGAGGATTTAATAACTCATCATACTCATAGCTCAATGTTGTACTCATTCCTGATGGTGGAATTTTTATCCATGAAGAAAGGGAAAAAATGAGGTTATACCAGGGTAAATATGTGGCTGAAAATGGTGGCAGACATGGATGCAGGCCTTGCCTACATGACAGGCAGACATAGGCTTTGACCCCTCAGGAAGAAAAATTAGGCAAGAGTTCTATCTAGAATTAAAGACGCTCATGTTTCTAATGCTCATTAGCTGACATTTATCTAGGAGGATCACCAATCATTGAGTTATTTTTATAACCAGCTTAACAGAAGCTGTGTTTCCATGACAACAGTCAATGTTGGAAAGGTAAAAAAAAAAAAAAAAAGAAATTAATGGAACTTGTGGTGATCTTAATAATGCTGTATGGAACTTATTCATTAATCTGGTTTTCCTATTGTCTGGGCTTCCATGCCACTGCAGAACTAACTGGCTTCTCTGGGGCTGTCTGACATTGGGAATAATGCATTTTCGAGACGCCAAGTGCCTCTAACCCAGGTTACTGACACAGAGTTTTCTAATTCTTCTGTGATTTTTCTTTTGAACTGAGTATGGGGTGGAATCATTGTAAAAGAACCCTTAGATCACCACAAACTGACCAAGAAAAGTGCAGGATTGGTCAGAGCAAGAGGCACAAATTTTATCTTTATTCTCTTTTGAAATCCACAGCAGCAGATTTGCTCTCATGAATTAAATGTTATGTGAAAAGAAAAAGAGGAATCAAGTTTCTTTCTAGATTTCTGACCTAAGCCACTGGGTAGATGATGGTGTAAAAGACAGGAAAATCAGCCAAATGTGGATTGGGTGATGGAGACAAAGAGTTCTATTTTAGAAATCCTTTTATCTTCAAAGAGACTTAAATTGTATTACATCATAACTGAACATTTTAGACCCAAATAATACAGCTCAGTCAAAAGACCTTATTTCATACAGACAATGTGATGGTTTTGCTATCAATGAGATGATGGGTCTGGAGCACACTGTATGACCTTATTACTATTTGAAAAAAATCACCTGTCAGTGTTGAGGTCTTTTTTACTTGTCCTCAACCTATTTTTTATTTTTCAAAGTAATCCAGATTTAGGTGTTTCGGAATCAACAACTTAGGTTGCTTTCTGAACAGAATTTAGAACCCATATGTTTCTGTGTCTTGAATGGCCTATGCATCCCAATTGCTCCCTGACTTTGTGTGTTGTCTGTAAGTGTGAGTCACGTTGTTTTGCATTTAGTGTTAGGGCTGCAATGATTCTTGGTATGTCTTTTGGGAGCCTCTCTATCGTGTCTTAGAGGCTCTATTATGAGTCTCTCTAATGCGTATTCCTCCACCTTTACAATTCTATTAAGGAATCAAAAGTTTATAAATGAAATAAATTTAGATGTTAATAAGTTAAAAAAAATTCCCAACCCTAACACAAGTAATAAGACCACTAAACAGTATATATTAATATATGCCAAAAAGATCATACACTACTGTTTTCAGTATAAATGTGGATTCAGCAGAAGTTGTTTAGAATTGTGTTTTGAAGAAGCTGAATTTTTCCAAGCCACAGGAATGTTGCTTTCAGGTGTAGATTTGAGAAAGAGATTATAGCATTTCTTACCAAAACACAAAAACAAAACAAAAATCTTCGAGGTAAAATAGAATTTTTAAAGCAGTATGTAGACAGATATGCTATGTGATATAACTTCAATCTATGAAAATGATCTTTTCAATAACTTATTCCACATCTGATGAGACTCTAAGCAGATCATGACTGAGCCCCAGACATTCTTGCTTCCAAGTCTTCCATGAAATTCAGACCAACTCAGAATGAAATCAAACTCTTAAACTATTTTAATATATGTTATTGATACTTTCTAACTTTTTTCTTTAGAGTTGTTTCTCCCAATGAAAATTCAACTTAGTGTCAGTGACCAAGGAAAGACCCTGTTGATTCAGTGAGGACTCATTTTTCATATGGCTTCACCTTTCTTTGATTAATTAAGCACTAGCTCTACACAAAGCTGAGCATAGTTACCAAGGTACAGGTTGAAACTCCGAGGATGACTTATTTCATTGATCTTCATTAGTATGAGGACTTTCTCTTTGACTTAGTTTTCTCTTCCTAGCTAGGAGGTTCTATCTGCAGATGAGGGTAGAAAGCTGAAGGGAACCCCCTGGCCATGCACGTCTATGAGAGGAGACTCAAGGCCAGAGCAGAACATGACATGTTCGGAATCTCCACCAGAATTGATTTAGAAAATGTAGGAATACAGAGCATAGATACTTCAGATATTGCTTTGTTTCTTATAAGAACTACTTACCTTCTAATAGAAGGCATTTTAAAAACTGAAACTGGAAAGAAATTTGAAATGGATGTGCAAAATGTGTACCTTTTCTTTATATACTATCAACATCAGCAGTGATATCAACAATGATTATAACTAATCAAGAATCTCATAGCTGCCCTGTGTAGGAATTGTAAATTCAACATAAATTTGTAAGCTGATAAAGATGCAATGGACTGGCTCAATACTTGGGTTAAAATCAATTAATTAAAACAAAAGCCTGGGGGTTTCCAAAAGTTGTAGACATTTCTATAATGAACGTATTTTTTATAGACAGGGTCACTTTAGGTTGCCTAGGCTGGACTTTAACTCCTGAGCTCAAGTTATCTTCCCACCTCAGCCTCCCAAGTAGCTGGGACTACAGGCATGTGCCACCTTGCCCAGGTCCTCTTTGTAATATTTATCTTAGTAAAACCTAGAATAACTTTTCATTGGATAAACTAAACTTCTCTTACATAATGAAAATGCTCTGAGGTTATTTTAGTAAGAGTGAGTCTCAGTGTCCTTTTTTTTTTTTTTTTTTCCCAGATGGAGTCTCACTCTGTGGCCCAGTCTGGGGTGCAATGGTGCAATGTCAGCCTCAGCCTGCTGAGTGGCTGGGATTACAGGCACCCGCCACCATGCCAGGCTAAGTTTTTGTATTTTTTTGTAGAGATGGGGTTTCACCACGTTGGATAGGCTGGTCATATATTAGTGTCTCTTGTGGGCTGAATTGTGCCCTGTCGCCCAAAGTGATATGTTGAAGCCTTAAGCCCCAGTACCTCGTTTAAAAATGAGGCCTTGACAGAGGCAGTTAAGTTCAAGTGAGGTCATTAGGGTGGGCCCAATTTTGTATCACTAGTATCTTTATAAAGTGGGGAAATTTGGACACAAAGAGAGGCATAAAGGGAAGCTGTGAAGAGGCACAGTTAAAAGATAGCCAGACACACAAGCCAGGGAGACAGGCCTGCAACAGATGTCTCCCTCGAGGGCCGGAGCTATTGGTCCTGACAAGAGCCTTAGGCTTCATCTGTGTTTCCTTTATCAGGGTTGTTGGTCTCAAACTGAGAGGAGAGGAAAAAGATGAAATGTAAGACCCTAGCATGTCCAACCAACTAATGAGAAGGTAGAACAGAAACACAGAGCCATTGGACCTTGATTACTCTCATGATTTATTAATATTCAGGTTGAAAAAGGAGCCTTAGAGCCGCAAGTTTACGCTAATTGGCACATTTGCTTTATTTATTTATTTTTAAAACAAACTGGGTTTTTTGAATTTTTTCCTTTTTGTTCATTCCATCACATTGAAAAGGAGGAAAACAAAAATGGTTTTGAATTCACTCGATATTTTGGACTCCTCAGATGAACGGAACATTGCACACACACTTGGAACAGAGAGAGAGAGAGAGAGGAAAGTGGACTCCCACAGGGCCACACGCACCAGATCAAATAACTTGGATACAGTGCAAGAATTTCCCAAAATGATTGAATCATCATTACCAAAAACTCGCCATAACAACACCAAGAAACAAAAAATGTTTAAGCCACACTGTTTGACTTGGGATCTTTCCTGCTTTTTTTTTTTTTTTTTTTTTTTTTTTAAATGTTTGCCACACAGAGAGAAAGAGGGCTAGTGGGTGGGAAAGGACAGACTCACAGACGTGAGCAGGACAGGAAGGGACTTCAGAGAGGAGCTGAGAAGAGGGTAGGGAGAGACAGGCTCAGGAGAGGGGAGGGTGGGGATGTGGAAAGCCATTTCTTAGAGTTCAGGCATGTTCTTGGTCAGCCTCGGGTTCCTCTTCTTTACCCTCATCCTGCCGGGCACTTTCCTTAGGTTTGGTTTCATCTACAGCTTCTGAGAAAGAAAACAAGATAGGGTGGGGGGAAAAGGAGAGAGTTAGTATTTTGTCTTATCTGTTCATATAATGGTGCAATGCATTTCTTCTTTTTATGTCATTTCATAACAGCATTAAGATTAAAAGATTATTAATATCCCAGTTAATATAAGTTCCAAGTTCAGAAGAGTTTACCTCAAAGAAGCTGTTCAGTGGCACCTATGGAAGAACTCAGGAGCAAAGGTATGTGAGTGACAAGGAGCCCACTTAACAGAAGGTACTGTAGTCTTTAATCTCTCAGCCTTACAATCAAGGTATCCACATACAGGATCTTCACATAGGGAATCAACGACAATCTTGTATTGCTCTTCTATTAGTGTCAGAAGAATTGTGACAGATAGTTTATGTGGACCATTGAGCATCCATTCCAAATTTCTTACCACTCATTTCCAGTATTGGAAAGTGAAGTAGTTGAATTTTCAGCTCCTGTGGGACAGTGCTGGTCAATTATAGAAGTCCCTGGAGAGGGCAGAGTTGGGTTTTGCCATTCACATTCTCCTATTCCTGATCACTTGGACCTCAAACAATACATGGCACTGTAGCAGCTGCCTTGTGACCATGAAGACAAAAACTACACACTAAGGATGGTGGAGCAAAAAGAAAAACTCATCACTGAGTGACTGTACTACTCCTAGATACCTTCCCTCAGAGACAAGTCACTAGCCTCTTTAAAGCATTGTAATATAATAGTTTTCAGTTTCTTGCAGCCAAGCACATTCCAACTGAATACACTTATCCATAGGGAAAGTACTGCTTTGCTTAACAAGGAGGATATCAAGTATTTCTGAAGAAAAATGTTCCCTTGGTTTCCCGACAGAACTCAGTCAACGAGTTTACGCTACCTGATAGTTTACTAATATGCTAGCTTGTAGAAAAAGAATTCATTTGCTTTGAAACAACTTGTGTTGCCAAACAATCAACTCCCTGTGTCAGGATCCCCCAAGACCACCCCTAGGTTCAGTGATTTGCTAGGAGGACTCATGGGACTCAGCATGCAGTCTGCTTCATAACTAAAATTTATTGCAGTGAAAGAACACAAAGCAAAATAAGCAAAGCAAAAAGTTGCTCATGGGCAAAGTTTGGAGAAAACCAAACAAGTTTCTAAGAGTCTTCTCCCCATGGAGTCATCCAGTATGTGCTTAATTCTTTCAGCAATAAATTACCATAACACATGGAAGATGTCATCTATTAGGGAAGTTTACCTGAGTTTGCATTGGTAATTGGTCATGTAGGTACCCTCCACCTAGCAGGTACAAAATTCAGACTCCCAGAAGAAAAATAGATGTTCGGCATAAACCACATTGTTTGTACTATGGTTTTAGGCACCTGGAACCACTCTTATCAGTTAAGGAATGATGAGAATCTTCTCAAAATCCAAGTTCCCAGATGCCAGCCAACGGTCAACTTTACAAACAAGCTTTTCTAAGGACAGCAGTCCCAGGCCTGCTATATTAACTGTTTGTTTTTTTTTTTCACCTCAATCCCTTATATTGGCGATGCCTGTGTCTTAAAATGAAGCTATTGTTATTGCTTGTCCTCCTCTTAACAGCTATTAGGTGCTAATTATTCTTGGAAAGCCAAACTGAAGTCCATGGAATTTTGTTAGGCTAACAAATTTGTGTTTAATTAGAAGACAATAGACAGTTTGAAAGCCCTTGAGCAAGGAATATAATACAGCTATGCTTTGAGGAGATTAAACTAGGAATATTAAATAAAATAGTTTTGCTGTATGTAGATGTTGAGATTAGATAAATGGGGTCATTAAGGAGACCATTAAAAGAACTCATCAAAATGTATGTCTCTTTTAAATCAGCCAGCTACATATTTACATTCAGATAAAGCTGAACGTTTATACCCACCATTATTAAACACATTTCTGGAATTTCTTCTCTGAAACATCTATCAAAAAACGTTCTTTTAAAGCTCTTCAGTAGGAGAAATGCTTATTTTTTGAAAATAGGTTAGACTTTTAAAATCTAACTAGACTAGTCTGGTAAATAAAGTAAGCAGCTACGATAGGTAACTTTACCTTATAATACTCACTTTTGACCAAGGTTTTAAAGTCTGACTTATTTTATAGGGTTCATAACTCACTATAAGCTATTCATAAAATATAGTTATTCTAGTGATGCTACCTACTACTACTCATAAGGTTTTTTTAAGGCTACAGCTTTCCAAAGTGACTATGATTACCTCTTGAACAACAGTGCACCCATATAAGTTTTGCATGAAACTAACTCAATTCTGATCATTCTAATACTCTATGCATTAGCAGTATTCCTCAGGAATTATAAAAATTTTGGTGTGCTAATGAGTTATTTAATTTTCTACCAGAAGAAAGATTCCAGATTTATTTCAGCGAAGTTCTTCTAAAACAATCAGGAATTCTTTTGCTTATTTCCCTAACCCTGCTCAAACATTTGTTATCACAAGTATGCCCAAGGTAGTTTACCATCCTTATCAGTTCCAAGAAGCAACGTTTTTAGTGCCCTTTTCAAACTGCAAAATAAACATAATATTGGTTTACACAACCCAGAAACATACAGAAAGATAGTAGCTCTACGAGCAAGAGAAGACTTCAAATCTCTCCTACCAAAATAAAGATATGGGAGCTATTCTGTATGCTTAGAGGGAGATCAGGAAATGAGAGAAAAAGGGAAGTAGACCGGGAAAGGTGAGAAATGCATGTTTGTTGAATAAAGGGAACAAAACTCAAAAAATGCAGAAACAGAAACCTGAACATTCAGATGGTTCTGAGACTTTCTGTTCCCTTGTTGGAATACAATCAAGTTAAATCCTCCCAATTCTCCCACTTTCTCTTGTCATCCGTTGCCTGGTCCTAGGACAAAAGATGAAATTTGGCACAAATCTGTTTATCATGACAGGAAATTATTGCTGTCTGTTCCCTATTGAGAGAGCTTCAATACATATTCATTTTCTCAAATCCTTCAAAGTATTTTAAATGTAAGTATTTATTAATTTATTTGTTCAATAAGTTCTTACTGGACACCTGCATTGTGCCAGTCATTCTTCTAGGTACTGAGAAAAAAAAAAAAAAAAAAACAGCAAAATCCTTGTTCTCCTTAAAGCCTTTCATAACATACCTTTAAAAGACAATAAAATTTGGGCTGGGTGTGGTGGCTCACACCTGTAATCCCAGCACTTTGGGAGGCTGAGATGGGTGGATCACCTGAGGTCAGGAGTTCGAGGCCAGCCTGGCCAAAATGGTGAAACTCTGTCTCTACTAAAAATATAAAAGTAGCTGGGCATAGTGGCACATGCCTGTAATCTCAGCTAGTAGGAAGGTTGAAGCAGGAGAATAGCTTGAACTTGGGAGGCGGAGGTTGCAGTGAGCAGAGATCCCGTCTTTGCACTCTAGCCTGGGGAACAAGAGCGTAACTCTATCAAAAAAACAAATAAACAAAAAAAGACAATAAAATGTATAATAATAGAATGTTACAAATGAATGGACCCTTTAAGATCATCCAGTCACCAAACCATGAACTCTTCAAGGGTAACAGCAGTACCTACTTCAGCTCAACCTTGAATCCCATGTCCAGCATAGAACCTAATTCAGGAAAGACCCTCAGTAAATATTTGTTGAGTGAAGGAATGACTGGACAGCCTCATTTTACAGGTGATGACACTGAAGTCTAGGTGCATAAAGGAACTTTCCCTAAATCATATGACTTGCTTATGACCAAGCCAGAACTAAAACTCAGGTCTATTTGTTCAGGTTTTCTGATTATATCAGGTGGCCAAACTCATTTTCCCAATTCGGCACTAGAAACTAAGCAGCTAGGGTCCATAGGGTTTTAGTGACCTATAAAACTTCAGAGATTAAAAAATGGTTGGCTCCAAAGTATAAAATAAAAACCGTAAAATTAAAATTGATGAAGCTCGATTAGATGGCTACAAAAGGAAATGTTAGTTAGCTGGAACACATAAAACTCTCTATCTATCATCTATCTATCTATCTATCTATATTTGTCTGAGATTAAAGTAATTTTTTACTTGATATTATTGAATATTAAGCAAAATATTTGCTTTGTTTTAAGTGAAGGGATGACTAGTTGGCAGAAAACAAAGTGGATCAAGTCAATGGATGCAGTGAAAATTTTATAGACCACCAAGAAATTATGGGGAGGAAAATAAAACATGGACGGAGGAAACAATGTAAAGAAATAATCTGTTACAACTTCCAAAGTGAGATAAACTAAGAACTCATGATAACATTTTTTTAAAATTCTACATCCAAATGTGGGAACAATAGCCAGATATGGACAATATGTCTGCTCTAGCTAGCTCTACTTTGGTAGGAGACTGCATATGAGTTTGGGAAAGGTTTTAGCCTCTGACAAGGCAGAACTTATTATAAACAGAATCCAACTTTTGTATAAAATAGGTCCATTTAAGCCTGAATACTGGAGGGAACATTTTGATATTGCTAACTTATTCTCCCACTGATGTCAACCCTAGATAAATCATTGCAGTGATAAATCATGTTGACTGTTTAGTTTACATCTACATTTTCTTACCTGTTCTATTCAGCAGCTTAAAAAAAAAAAACTGCCTGGAAAGAATTATGAATTATGACTTACCTGGTCCTTTGTATAAAGTATTTAGCTATAGTTAACATTTTCGAGCTCTTACTATGTGCTTAGAATAGTGCGAAGTATACTTGTATCATTGCATTTAATTCTCACATCTACTTTAATCACCCCATTTCACAGCTGGGGAAACTGAGACAGAGGGAGACTGAAGGGTTTACCTAAGGCCGCACTGTAAATTCCAACCTAGGACACAGTTATCGCAGCAGCTCTTACTTTAGTTGCTTTCCCTGGTTTTACCTTTGCCCAGAAAGAATGGGTGAGTTCAGAGTGGTAACTAAAGCAGGGAGTCCAGTCCACAGCTATGCAGGCCTGAAGCCCACAATGTTTAAAAATTGTCCCATTAAAAG